GTGAAGGATCGAAACATGAGTGTTCATAGGTGGGGGACTTCCTGTGCATTACACAAGTATGGGTTATGCATATTTTGAGTGTGTTTATATAATGTATGAGTATATGTTTGATTTTATATATGTGTGTGTAGATGCTGTAGTGATACACTTATTAGAAGGGATGTATTATGAGAATCGGCTCATGCAGTTGTGGAGCTGGAGTCCCACCAGATGGAGTATGAAACTGGAGACTCAGAAAAATCCATGGTGTAAGTCAGGGGCCAGAGATCCAGGAGAGCCACTCTAGTTCCCAGTCTGAGGACTGGATGAGTGTGATGTCTCACCTTTCTTGGTCAGGCAGAGAAGGGGCGGGACATTCTTTCCTCCACCTTTTGGTTAGTTGGGTCCTTGGTGGGTCGAATGAGGCCTACATACACCAATGTCTCAGTTACTCTTCTCTCGTTGCTGGAACAAATACCCACCACCCATGAAGGAAGAAAAGGTTTATTCAGCTCATAGTTAATGGATGTTTCAGTCCATACTTGACTGGCTCCAAGGCAGACTGGCACATGGCAGAGAGCAGCAGTTCACGGTGGTGGCAAAGAGCAAGAGCAAAATGGAGGAGTAGCAGCAACAATGGTAACAGAGAGGAAGTCTGTCTCTCTTAAATTGCATTCAGACTATCCCCCCCCCCAGGCTGGGGTAAGTACTGATACACATAATCCCAGTGGATCATGAGTTAATCTCAAACTCTGGAATTCTGTCCCATAATTGCATGAAGCTTTGGGGGGACAACTAGACACAAACCATAATAACTGAGAAAAGTGTCTACTTTACCAAGTTCACCCGTCCAAATGCTAATCTCATCACCAACTGCCCTCACAGACACACCCAAGAGTAGTACTTAGCAGGTAACTCCCTGTGCCACCTAGATTGACAAAATATTATTCATCACTGCTTCCTTCTGTAAAGATGGATGTTTAGGAGCCCTCAAAGGCCCAATCCATCTCACAGAATCAGTAAACATTGTAGCTAAGAAGACATTCACTGGTGGCATGGCTAGAGGGGCAGAGAGAGCTGTATGGGGCCAGGTATTGTAATTCCTAGAAAGGCCTGAACACTTAAGGTCTCTGAACCTCCTTGCTTGCCCTAGCTGGGCCTCAGAATTACGTGAGGAGCTATGGAAGCCCTGAACTCTACCTCTGACTAACTGCCTCCTGATTCAAAGTCACAGAAGGCAGGAGCCTCCATGTCTGTGAAGCTGCCAGGTGACTCTGAGTCACCATCCAGTGAAGTTCAGCTTGAATGCCTAGGATCTTATCACACTGGCCTTCCCATTGCCCCAGTCTGCCCAGAGGACCTGCCCAGGGCCGGGGCATTTCCACCTCTCAGCCACAATTACCTGCAGTTCTCGATGGGCCTCATCTCAGGAAATTGGCCTGGCTGACGGACGGGCTTCTGGACATCACTTCTAGCCATTCCTCTCTGTCTCAATTACTTTTCTCTCATGGAAGGGACAAAATACCTGACACCCAAAATCAAGGAAGGCAAGGTTTATTTAGTTCATAGTTTATGGAGGTTTCAGTCCATACTTGGCTGGCTCCCAGGAAGAGTGACACACAGCAGAGGGCAGCAGTTCATGGCAGCAGAAAACAGCAAAGAGCAAAGGGAGGAGGAGCAGCTCACAAGCCTCTCTGCCTTCCTTATATTGTCTGCAGATTGCCTGCCCCAGGGTGGGTGTAGAACTCACCCATAATCCCCGCAGTGGATCATGAATTCATCACAAACTCTAGAAGCCACCCCAGCGACTGCATGAGACTTCGTGGGGATGCCTGGACATAATCCATAATACTCTCCTCCCTCTTTTGGGTGGTTTATCATGGTGCCGAAGCTCATGGTGGGGAAGGGGCAGGCATGTGGAGGGCAGCAGGCGCAGGTGCTGCTTCGCTGCAAAAGATTCCAATGCTTCCCTGTGCACTTGATACTGGCAGCTGATTTCAGGTTCGAAATAGTTGCCAATTAATTTTCATCACATTAAAATAATGCTTCTGCTGCTAATTAGCAAATTTTTGTTCTTTAATGGTAACTTCTATTATTTTGGCAAATCATAGAAAGTTGATGCATATTTATCAACTGCTTTCATAGTACTTAGTGAAAGGATATCATTTTCCCCCCTTGGCCCAAATAAGTCTCATTTCATATTATTAGAGGTCTTGAAACCATCTCTGCATTGTCTGGTGTGTGTGCGCGCGTGCGCGTGCACGTGCTTGGCCATCAGGCTAGGCTGGTTTCTTAGAAGGGAGCAGGAGTCTTCTTTTTCCTTAACTCTGAAATGGGAACTCACCTAGAAATTGCCCCTTCATGGAAAGCTTGTGAGAACTCAGCATGCAAACCATACACATTGCACCTAGAAATCTTTACAGGTTATTAGTGCAATATTTTTGATAACATGAAGATACTAGCCCAACATGATTAATCTTTCAGGTCATTCACTGACTTGAACCCTTTTTGGTCCTGTTAATTTCTGTCAGAACATTATTAGTATTTAAGATTGATCAACAGAGAATCTCACTTATTTTTGTACATCTACCACCCAGTTTTATTTCTAATTTTATTGGGGTTTATCTACCATTTTGTCATTTTATTGGGGTTTCTATGTCAAAGGGTGGGTCTTCATAAATCCCCCATCCCAAGTAGAACAATATATTTTCTTTATTAATCTTGCTATTGTTCTCAGTTGTTGTATAATTCACAAATTGTTCTTTTCATCACTTTCTTCCTCTTCTTTTTGTGAGGCCTTTGTCTCTTTTCTTTTTAATATCCAGGCATTGACAGCTTAATTTGGGGTTTTATTCTGTCTTGTTTAATAATGAATGCAGCAAAGACTATGGGTTTATCCCTGAGCGCAGCCTTTCTAATTTTGCAGATTACAGGAGGAGAGAATCAATGTTTATTGAACATGTACTCAGCCAGATGCGATGCTAAGTACTTTGCGCCCTTTCTCCTGTGCAGAATGGAAGGGCTGCCTTGTCTCGTGAGACTGAGGGTAGCCTGCAGCGAATAATCTGGAGTCCAGCACCTGGTGCTGGGCCGTGGGTGCCTCCATGGCGGCCTCCCAGCTGGCCTTACCTTTTGTTCCCGTTTTACATGTAAGGGAACTGAGTCAGCAAAGGAAAAGAAGTTGCTCCGTGTCTCCAGCGCCAAGAAGGGCCAAGACAGGTTTCACAGCAGTTCTCCCAGGCATGTGCGCTGTGTGAATCAAGCAGCGGCTGAAGGGCTGGTGGAGGGGTCAGGAGGATCATTGTCTTTGCTCTTGCTCTGAGACCTCTGTGGCCTCCACCATCTGCTTCAGTTCCTGACAGTAAAAAAGAATGTACATAGCCCACTCCTCACAACAGCCCTCCTTTGAGACATGTGGCTTCTTTTTTTCCAGGAGAAGAGAGGGGACAATTACCTCTTTTTTTGGGGGGGGAGGTGGAACCAGGGATTGAACTCAGGCCCTTGCACTTGCCAGGGAAGCGCTTATTCCACTGAGCCATCTCCCCAGCCCCAACAATTACCTCTTACTAAAATGTACCCAGGTTATTTTAAAACCAAGCATACTGCAGAAGCCCCATGGGGCATTCTTCCTGCTTGCCCTCGCCAGGGGAGATTCTCAAGTTCAGCCTGACCTGGCTTTGGCAGAGTCCCTTCTCCCTGTCCTGAGAGAGCCAAGGTGTGTCTCTCCTGGTACCTGATGGGGTCGTGTAGTTGTTGAGCCAGCCAGAGGAAGGTGAGCGAGAGGACAGTTCTGGGACGATGCATGTGCAGATGGATAGAGCTTGTTTGAGGATCTGGCAGGAGCCACAGGCACAGAACTCTGTGATTTCGTGGATGTTGAGCCAATGAATCTGTCCCCACTGTGCAGCCCTGCTCTGAGGATTTATTTGTCAAAATGAAAGAAAAAATGATAGAGGAACATTAACCAAATCATGGGAATGTACACAGTGGCAATCTCAAGCTGCAAGGAGAAGCCTCTGAGGGTAATCCTGTGGGGTCTTGGTAGGGAACAAACCTAGAGGGCTTGTGGGTGCTGAGTAGGAGCTGGACCTTCAGCCAGGGGTGCCCCCAAAGTGCCTGGCACCCTCCCCACCTGCCTCTTTTATGCCAAGAGTTCCCTAATTGCCCCCCTACACTGTAGAATACTTTGATACCCCCTTTCTGAAGTGGGCAGGTGAACATGAATGGGAGACTGGGGAAGGACGGTGTCTCCCAGGCTCAGTCAGGAGTGGGCACAGATCTGAGCTTCTGTTCTATGTGGCACAGGGCTGGACCTGAGCCTACAGTTCAGAATGCCCATGTGGTTTTCTGAGGGACACTCTTTTCTAAGAAAAGCTTTATTACAAAAAAACTAGAATACTTTATTCTGCTTAGAAAAGCATCATCTAATAAAAGTATCCTATTCATGTTTGTTTGTTGGGACCAGAAGGGCTATTTGATAGAGAAGCTTGAGTCCTCATTTATATTGTCCCCTCAGGTAGTGTGCTTGTGCATTTATTGCCTGTCCTATCAGTTACCTTCATACCCCTTTGACAGTTGTTTTCCAAACAGCAGTAAACCCTGAAGTATGAAGGGAATTTTTCTAATTAAAACTTTAAGCATCGAGCTAGGGAGATAGCTCAGTGATCTGGCCACCTGCTTGGCAAGTGCAAGGACCTGGATTTGATCCCTTGTACTACATACCATGTCAGCCCCTGAACCCTGGGTGCACCATGCCAGCCACTGACACCAGGCATGGTGGCACACGTCTGTAATCCTAGTGCTGGGGAGGCTGAGACAGGAGGATCACTATGAGTCTGAACTGTATAGTAAGACCCTGTACCAAATAAATAAAGACTTTTTTAAAAGATTTAAAAAAAAAAACCGTAAGCATCTATTTAAGAAGTAACATCTATTGCTCAAAGAACAAGGGAATGATGCGGTAGCTAACATACCAGGACACCAAGGAGTGAAAGATACAGGTTTTCTTCTTCTTTTTTAAGGATTTATCAAGGGACCCACACTTTATCCTGGAAGGTGCAAGTAGATTTGACATCCAGCAAGGAAGAGCAGGTAAGAACTCAACATCTTCCTTCAGCCCTTGGACTTAGACTTCACCTGGGAAATCACATGGCCTTGGGCCATCTTGGCAGAAGTCACCTGGCCACCAGCCAGAATCCACCTACTAGAATTCCCCTGGTTGGAGCAATGACCCCGCTGGAGGTGCCTTTGGACTTCTATACCAAGCGTAGTGCCTGATGTGAGAAAGCATTCAAAGAATTAATGATGTTGAAGGAGAAGCAGACCCAGGGAGGAGATGAACCTATTCAAAAGGATTCACAGTGACATCCAAAGAGAAATTCAAGACCACACATCTTACAGAAGAGAAAACCCTGTGTGGCCTCAACAGGCACCCCTCTTTATTCAGATGAACAAAGACAATTATGGTGTAGTTTTCATAACTGTACCAAGTACCACTACCACATGTACAAAGTTTTCTAAGGCTCTGACAAAAAAGAACCAGAGAAGAAGTTGAGCCCCAGCTCTGCTAAAGCCTGTCCAGGGCATCCCTGTTCCCTCAGTGCACTACCACCCACTACTACCACTACCACTACCACCACCTTTACTCTCTGTTGCTTGGAACTGGCCACAGAAAATTCGTTATCCAGTTCTCCTCTCCCAGAGAGCAAAATTTCATTGTAAGCTAAGCACCCTTAATAATAATAAAAAAAAACATAAAACCCAAATGCTCTAAAATCTGAAAAGTTTTGAGCACTTGCATGATGCCATAAGTAGAAAATTCAACACCTGACCTCATTTGGCAAGTCACTGTCAAAACTCAGGTGCACTAAAAATATTATTTAAATTACCTTCACATTAAGTTTGTAAGGTGTGTATGAGACAAGTGAATTTCATAGTTAGATTTGGGGCCCCATCCCCAAGATAGCTTACTATGTATATGCAAATATTCCAAAAATCTTAAAAAAAAATCAAAATTGGAAACCCTTCTGATCCCAAGTATTGCAGATAAGAGATACTCAATCCATATTCAGAAGAAGTGTCCTGTTATTGCTGGCCAGGACATGTGAGATCAAGGGGTGTGGCTTTCAGGGTGTCCATTTGGTGTCTCATGGCTTTGTTTCCTCCCAGGGGACTGCTGGTTCCTCGCAGCGCTGGGCTCCTTGACCCAGAACCCTCGGAGTCTGCAGAAGATCCTGATGGAGCAAAGTTTTTCACATCAGTATGCAGGGATTTTCCATTTTCAGGTACATGAGCAGCTAGGATGCTCCTACATGATGGGGCCTCTGTGAGTCTGTAGGAAAGCCTAATATTTGCACGGCCTGGGAGACTGCTGCGGGAACGCCCTCATGTGTTACTCTGCCTATAACCAAAATGGGATTTGGGCTTATGACCTCACCACCTATAGGGAAGATGAGAGTTAATGTTTTCATTAAATAAGACATGGTAGGAACAATTAACAAAAGAAGAGTCATTGACCCAGAACCCTGCAGCTATCATTGAGTTTGTAACTCTATTTGTTCCTGTGCCATGCATCCCGTTATTTTGTCTACAGGAGTGTTATAGGAAATCACAACATTGGGGCGGGTGAGATTTCTTTTATTATTAATTACTTGTTTCCCCAAATCATCTTGATAGTCCTTGTGCATTTATACCTCCACGGGACTTTTAAAAACATTTTGTCTAATTAAAAAGAAAAGCCCCTGTGATGTAGAATGGAGCTGCATTAAATTTATGTATTAATTTGGAAAAATTACATTTTTATTGTTTTAATTATTCCTTTCCAGAAACATGGTATCTCTTTACATTTATTCAGAGCTAATTTTATGGCCTTCAATAAAATGTTACACTTATGCATACATATTGGTGCTATACCTTTCTTGGTAAATTTATTCTCAATTATGTTTCAGTTTTATAGCAATGTGAGTGAAGTGCTTGGTTTTTTTTTTTTTTTTTTTTTTTCTCTCATTTCCAGCTATGTTGCTGGAAATGAAAGAAGTTATAGTATATTGTTATTTTTTAAATTTCTTATACACTTATATACACTTAGACACTTATAAATGTATCATATATCACACTGTTTGGCCACTAGTTACTAAATTCTTATTTATTTATTTATTTATTTATTTATTTATTTATTTTTAAAGTATTTAGTACAGGGTCTACAGGGTCTCACTACACAGATCAGACTCGTAGTGATCCTCCTGCTTTCAGCCTCCCAAGTGCTGGGATTACATGTGCGTGCCACCACACCCGATCTCAGTCACTGTCTCAGCGCATCCCGGGGGTGGGGCCGGTGGGCACATCAGGGACCCAGCCCGGCCTCTGTGCTCTGTCTAAGCAGGCACTTCAGCCAACCCTCACTAGACCCAGCCCGGCCTCTGTGCTCTGTCTAAGCAGGCACTTCAGCCAACCCTCACTAGACCCAGCCCGGCCTCTGTGCTCTGTCTAAGCAGGCACTTCAGCCAACCCTCACTAAATTCTTCGATTAGTTCTCATTTTTTCCTTTAGTAGAATCCACATTGTTTTAATAACCTGACACCATCTGCAAGTAACAGCACTTCTGTCTCTTCTTTAATATTCATAGAACTTATTTTGCGCCTTTGCCTTGTCACACTAATTAGAATGACACAATTTTAAAGCAATGGCAAGAGTTGAAATCTTGCCTTCTGTGACTTTCATCATATACTTTCTTGATATGCTGTCAGATTCAAGTTACTGAAAATCTTAGTAGAATTTTTATACCTATTGCATACGTAAAATTACTTTCTAGTTTGTTATTTTTATCATATTTGTGTTAGCTTTTAAAGCAAACTGATTATAGCCTACTTTTTAATGTGAAATAATTTGAATAAAATTTGCTAATCATTGATTATCTGCTCTTTGAAAGTAAACTAGACAAGGTAGAAATAAAGTAACACAGCCAATAGTTACATTATTTAGCCCTCTTTCCTTTTTAATATGTATATTTTTTAATCTTTTATTTATTTATTTGGTACAGGGTCTTACTATACAGACTAGCCTTGTAGGGTTCCTCCTGTCTCAGCCTTCCCAGTGCTGGAATTACAGGTGTGCACCGCCATGCCTCGTTTCGGTGGCTGACAAGGCACGCAGTACCGGGGATCGAACCTGGGCCCTTGTGCTCGCCAGGCAGGTGCTTGAACAACTGAGCTATTTCCCTGGGCCCTGCCTCCTTTTAAAATGTGGTTTCTTTAACTCCTCAGTGCATTCAGTAGATATATATTTGCTTGGGCCACTTATTTCTACTGAATCCTTAAAATTTATACTATTACAAAAAAAACAAACATTTTTTGGTACCAAGCCATAGAGTTGTTCTAATGATTCTGTGAAAATTCCTTTAATTCCTAGTAATTTGTGGCTAAATCTGTTTTCTCGGTCTCAGTGCTATATTTTATTTTTCCATTTTTTAATCTAGATTTTTTCAATTCAACTAATCTACTGTATTATTTTATCTAACCAATCAGTCTTTGGTTTTTATTATTCACTCTTTTCTTTTTCCTTTAAAGTATTGTTTTCTATATAATTAATTTAAGTTTTATTGATTCTCTTTTTGCTTCTCTAATTTGAAGATAGCATTTTCTTTTTCATCTGTGAAACCATAGTTAAGATTGTTATCCATTTCTACCAACAAAAGCTTTTAAGAATATAAATTTTCTTCTGCGCTCTTATATTTATCTATGAGTTTTGAGCCAAAACATCTTATTTTTGTTAATTTTAAATTTTAGTTTTGATTTGTTCTTTCATATGCATTTGGGGCTGTTTCTTTAAAATTTAACCAACTTTCAGGGCTGGCCAAATAGCTCAGCAGATTAAAGCGCCTGCAAGCAGGCACAGGGGCTGGAGATTCAATCCCTGGGTCTGTCGTGTCGGCCCCACCCGTGGACAGCAA